TCAAAGGCCACGTTGACAAAAGCACATCTTGTTCAAATTCACTAAACCGGTCGTCTTTCGAAAAGTAACCAACAGATCCTGTTGTGCTTGTGTCGGGCACGCTCAAGCTACCTCCAGGTACATTAGTATTATTCATTTCCTCAATTGCTCTAGTGACTTTTGAGGATTGGTTCGGCAACTGACTAGGCAGGCTCATACGTTTGAGGACAGGTTGATGCTTCCTGGTTCGTAGTCGACTTTGCTCCACGCCCATACCGCTCACATGAATGCAACCATTGTCCAACCGCACCGTTTGGTTATTAAAAACCAAATACTGCCTTAAAACATCGCCAATTTATGTTCAGTCCTATAATAAACAACTTAAATATTCTTTGAGGAAGCTACAGTTCCCACCATCTCCCATTTCTCAGTGTGCGAAAATCTAACAGGCTAGTGGTGATTGATCGTTTTGGCGACTGACCAATCGGATGGAAGTGGGCGAGAAACGTTGATGTGGCTAAACCAATAATAAATGGATGTCATCCTCTCTACGGAATGAAACAATGGGATCTGATGACCTAAATACTGGCTGTTTGAGGGTTTACTTATGTGAAACTGTCCCGTGAACACCAGCTAAAAATTCATCCGGTAAATACCACCTATCCAACTATTCAGAACAAGTACAGAGTGAGGGCAGTTTACGTAGAGTGATGCAAAGTGTCACGTAAGCAAACAACTTTTAGTGAAACTGGGCATTGCTTTTCGTGTGGAAAGTGGTCCAGATAGTAACCACGATAGCGCTTTCTTCTAGTTCCATCCGTTATTGCACAAAACAGCTAAAACTCGCGCTCAACTAAATCAAAAAATCTAGCCGAATTATGAAGTCTTTAGTGCAACTAATCTACTCCAACTGGAAGTAGAAGCATGACCAGCCCAATAAAAAACCAAAAGGAAGCACTGAAACTTAACAAAATTGAGAACAGAAAATCTAATTTGAAATAGATGAAAGCCCCCCTTATTTGAAAGTTGACTGTTCTGCTTTAGGAAAGTTAAAAACAGCTGTCGGTTTTAAAATAGTGAGTTGCTCCAATCCCTAATTTTCGAAGTGAAGGAAGACGTTTTTAGCAACCAGCACATCGTCTGTCAGTGAACTGACACCAAAATCGCAGCTATGGCTTCATGTAGTCGTTCTTTGTACGATGCAGGCCACGTATTAACATACTGTGTAGACAGTTAAAGAGAATGAACTAAGGATTACAACGCTACATGGGCTGGTATCTACGCGTGGTGAGTCAAATATTCAGAAGGGGAAACTCAGGGGTTGGGAAGTATCTTTTGAAGCATTGAATTACTTTGCATGGCATGACGGAAGAGCCTCCGGATCGCAAGTGAGAT